TCGGCGACTTCGCCTTCCTTAGAGCCTGGACGTACTTTATGTTAGAATACTTTTTATTATTCGGTAGAAAAGAAGGTTAAAGTATTAGAGAAGATCAAACTTTCAAATAGACGCCATACTGAACAGAAAGGCCACTCACTGTGATGTTACGTGCGGGACTGGCCCACACGTAGTTCACGTGTAGTCGCGAGCAAGACACACCCCGGGGTCAAAGTATCATTTTGAAACAGGGCGCCAGGTCACGCGTGATAGTGAGGCATTCGCCCTTCCGGTTCATCTTTGGATTTTTGAAATTTATCCAAAACGCCTCGAGAGTTTTGCGCGTTGATGTTTTTGATTCCTTAGCTGGGATCCGCACATTCACTTCAAAATCATCGCCGTTGTGCTTTTGTGCCCTATGCGTACCTAGAGGGGTGTTTAAAAGGATTTTAGCTTTTCCATCTAGATGCTCTTTTATGCGGACACAAAGTGGTCTACCCGTTTCCCCGATATATTCCTCGCCGCATTCATTAGATGAGATCAAGTATATTATACCTAAACTCATGCAATCCCCGTCTCTCCCGTTAGGACAGATCATACAGTTTTCTGAGCTGCACAAACGATCATAGAGACGGTTTCGAACTAACTGGCAGCGTAGGGTATTGAGTGGGATGTCAATAATCGTTACACAATTTNGCGTGATAGTGAGGCATTCGCCCTTCCGGTTCATCTTTGGATTTTTGAAATTTATCCAAAACGCCTCGAGAGTTTTGCGCGTTGATGTTTTTGATTCCTTAGCTGGGATCCGCACATTCACTTCAAAATCATCGCCGTTGTGCTTTTGTGCCCTATGCGTACCTAGAGGGGTGTTTAAAAGGATTTTAGCTTTTCCATCTAGATGCTCTTTTATGCGGACACAAAGTGGTCTACCCGTTTCCCCGATATATTCCTCGCCGCATTCATTAGATGAGATCAAGTATATTATACCTAAACTCATGCAATCCCCGTCTCTCCCGTTAGGACAGATCATACAGTTTTCTGAGCTGCACAAACGATCATAGAGACGGTTTCGAACTAACTGGCAGCGTAGGGTATTGAGTGGGATGTCAATAATCGTTACACAATTTTCAAGACCACATTTTCTTAAGCACTTTTTAACGGCGTGACTTACTTCATTTGATATGAAGGGCAGCTTAAAGGGGATCCTACTGTCGTCTGAAATATTATTTTGGGAAACTACCCAACGTTTTCCTCTAACCCGAGTGGCTTCTACTTCGTAGCCATTGCAGATGGCTATTTTCCGTGCCAGGCTTCGCGATTCCTTCCTTTCCTCTTCTCCTGTACACACATTTTTAGTCCTACGATACATGTTTTTGATAAGTACTTTTTTCATGTGGGAAGGATGAGAGGAGAGCCAATGAACTAGAATGTTTTTACTACTTGGCTTGCGATACCATTTTGTTACATAGCCACTTACTGAGAGCTTTATTTGGATGTTTAAGAATGGAAGCCAGTTCTCGGTAGGTTTTTCTCGTGTACATTTTATACACTCTGACTGTCGGTTTAATAATTCAAAGCACTCATCCATCTGTTCTTGTGTGAAACAGATGATGAAGCAGTCGTCTATGTATCGACAGTAGAGTAAGGGTCGGTGATCGAGAACTGAAGCTTCCACCTTTGACATGAAAGCGATGGCAAGGGTTGGTGCTAAACGCTGCCCCATCGCCAACCCTCTAATTTGTGCAAAATATTTTCCAGACCACCTNCCTACGATACATGTTTTTGATAAGTACTTTTTTCATGTGGGAAGGATGAGAGGAGAGCCAATGAACTAGAATGTTTTTACTACTTGGCTTGCGATACCATTTTGTTACATAGCCACTTACTGAGAGCTTTATTTGGATGTTTAAGAATGGAAGCCAGTTCTCGGTAGGTTTTTCTCGTGTACATTTTATACACTCTGACTGTCGGTTTAATAATTCAAAGCACTCATCCATCTGTTCTTGTGTGAAACAGATGATGAAGCAGTCGTCTATGTATCGACAGTAGAGTAAGGGTCGGTGATCGAGAACTGAAGCTTCCACCTTTGACATGAAAGCGATGGCAAGGCTTGGTGCTAAACGCTGAAGGGTTAGGCTAGAAAGGTTAGGTAAAGTAGTATCAAGGGGGGAACTACCACCAATACCCTTTCCCCGAACTTTCTTTAAGCAAGAGCTACCAAATAGCGATATTGACCCCACATTTCGTTCATTTTCGGACGAAATTCTCTGCATACTTAATCACTACCAAAAACGAAAAAGAAGCTTCAACCTCACAAACCAACAAGAATGTGGTATGCGCCAGGTTAGAGAGCTTTAGAATTCAAAATCTGTTAGACTTTCCATTAATGATAAAGGTGGAGAATTCCTAGTTCTTCCTAGTCAGTTGGATATTAGGATAACATAGGAGCACCTCAGTGATGTTTCTCTCTATCGAACATCCTCTGAAATGGAATACAGAAATAAATACCGAAAATTGAATCAAGAATGGGTCAGCACGGCAAAGGCCGCTAGTTTAGAGCCTTCAGTTATTTCTCGACTTAAGAACGAACACCCGATTTGCCCTGTCCTTTACTTGCTTATCAAAACACAAGCTTACTTTAACTGATGATATTACGTCAACGAACCCATCATCATATAAAGTTAGACCTATCATCAGTTGTATAGTCGAGCCAACGGATAGAATAACGTGGTTCCTAAACCTTAACCTAACCCAGCTTCAAAAATTCATCCCAACCCATCTACCTAACACCAAAATATTTCTGGATCACCTAAGGCGCGCGCAACCAAACAGCGCGCATATAATGGATTCATTCGATGTTAGTTTACTCTATACCAACGTGTCCAATGACTCCGCAATGCAAGCCATTCTCGAGTTGCTCGTAGAGCATGAAAAGAAAATAAAAATGTACGGTTTGTCGACTGCGCAACTAATGACTCTCTCAAACAGTGTCTTAGTTGTTCAATCTTTAGGTGGTCTGGAAAATATTTTGCACAAATTAGAGGGTTGGCGATGGGGCAGCGTTTAGCACCAACCCTTGCCATCGCTTTCATGTCAAAGGTGGAAGCTTCAGTTCTCGATCACCGACCCTTACTCTACTGTCGATACATAGACGACTGCTTCATCATCTGTTTCACACAAGAACAGATGGATGAGTGCTTTGAATTATTAAACCGACAGTCAGAGTGTATAAAATGTACACGAGAAAAACCTACCGAGAACTGGCTTCCATTCTTAAACATCCAAATAAAGCTCTCAGTAAGTGGCTATGTAACAAAATGGTATCGCAAACCAAGTAGTAAAAACATTCTAGTTCATTGGCTGTCCTCTCATCCTTCACACATGAAAAAAGTACTTATCAAAAACATGTATCGTAGGACTAAAAATGTGTGTACAGGAGAAGAGGAAAGGAAGGAATCGCGAAGCCTGGCACGGAAAATTGCCATTTCCAATGGCTACGAAGTAGAAGCCACTCGGGTTAGAGGAAAACGTTGGGTAGTTTCCCAAAATAATATTTCAGACGACAGTAGGATCCCCTTTAAGCTGCCCTTCATATCAAATGAAGTAAGTCACGCCGTTAAAAAGTGCTTAAGAAAAAGTGGTCTTGAAAATTGTGTAACGATTATTGACATCCCACTCAATACCCTACGCTGCCAGTTAGTTCGAAACCGTCTCTATGATCGTTTGTGCAGCTCAGAAAACTGTATGATCTGTCCTAACGGGAGAGACGGGGATTGCATGAGTTTAGGTATGATATACTTGATCTCATCTAATGAATGCGGCGAGGAATATATCGGGGAAACGGGTAGACCACTTTGTGTCCGCATAAAAGAGCATCTAGATGGAAAAGCTAAAATCCTTTTAAACACCCCTCTAGGTACGCATAGGGCACAAAAGCACAACGGCGATGATTTTGAAGTGAATGTGCGGATCCCAGCTAAGGAATCAAAAACATCAACGCGCAAAACTCTCGAGGCGTTTTGGATAAATTTCAAAAATCCAAAGATGAACCGGAAGGGCGAATGCCTCACTATCACGCGTGACCTGGCGCCCTGTTTCAAAATGATACTTTGACCCCGGGGTGTGTCTTGCTCGCGACTACACGTGAACTACGTGTGGGCCAGTCCCGCACGTAACATCACAGTGAGTGGCCTTTCTGTTCAGTATGGCGTCTATTTGAAAGTTTGATCTTCTCTAATACTTTAACCTTCTTTTCTACCGAATAATAAAAAGTATTCTAACATAAAATACGTCCAAGCTCTGAGGAAGGCGAAGTCGCCGAAACGTCAGCCATCAATCAATAACATCAAAAACAACGACAACGACAACGAAAATCTGTACCAACCTCGCGTCAGCTTAAGAAGATCAGTTTATAAGACCATATAAATAAAGATATTTAATGAAGTCGAATGCATGGAGCATCCCTCAAAGATTGATCAATGTTGCGAACTTTATTGTTTTAGAACTTTATTAAACCACCCGATATCATGTGTACAGACCCCAGAACTTCTTGCATTCGCTTCGTTTTCCGGCACCCACCATCCACGAAGGTCTCCGAATTTTTCTTTGCCTTTGTTTTGTGGCTGCTGCTTTATTTTTTCGTCTCCGTCATGATTTTCATAGAACGGTGATCGACTCAGTTCTTCCTGGCGTCCTGGTAAAGCTATTCTGAAACGTTACCGTCTAGATTAGAGGAAGTGAGTTTGTATAAGGCAATTCTGGCCCCACTTTCTCGATTCCGGAGAGTTGAAAGTTTTGGTCGACACTGAGCGTAGTGGATGCAGCGCTTAAGCTGCGTTACCAGCTTCTTGCGCAAAAGTAACGAGAAAAACAAAATCAAGAATTAAATGGGTGTATGGCCCTGCTGCTGGATTTAGTAACTGGAGTTGTTCATATATTTAGGAAAAAACAAATAAAATAAGAGACCACTTTTTAAAATGTCCTTTTTTCTGCGCCTAGTCACCGTATCACTCCACAATTAACTACTCACTCCGATTGTACTGTAACGATGGGTCGCTCATAAGTTTTACAAAGTCCTGCTTCTCTAAATCCAACATATTCACTGGATAGTTCATATAACCGAATTTCGTCACTGTGTCATGAATTCTATAAAGAAAAAATTACGTCGTACGGAAATACACTGACGAGAGTACTTTCGTCGTAATCTAAAATATAATGAACCTGTTAAAGAAGCGTCCGTAAATGTCAAGAATTCCCCATGACGGCACGGCAATGTTCATATCACCACCTATATGCTGCAAATAGAAGTAGACTTCTAAAACAAACTTTTAAAATCCAGTTTTTTTTTGCTAGCAGACCTAATTAACATCCAAAACTCAGAATTCAAAAATGTCGGACATTTGGATAAGTAAAATGTCACCTTTTTATACAATTCTCTCTTTCAGAACGGCGTGTACACTATCGAAATTATAAAGCAATCACGTTTCAACCATTATTACCCTTATTTACCTATTTTGAAACGTTCAAAGCTTTCCGTAAATAGAAACACGGCGTGTTAAAGTGGTTTTTACGATTTCTGGAGCGCTATGTTAACGCTTGTCTTTCACGATTCCATCATTTGTTCCCAAATCACACGACACGTTAGTGAGAGAACGGTGAACGCCTTCTGTTAGAAATTTTCTTGTACAAAAGTTTAACCTTGAAATTTGAAAACACAAAGCAGAGTGAAGATTGCGACTGGTTTACGATGAAAAACAGCTTTGGCAAAAATAATTAACAACTAGCTAACGTAAAGTTTTCCCACAGCGTTTTCGTCTACCCTAGTTCTAGATGAGATGATTTCGCTACAAGGAAGCCCTCAATTTATATGTAGTATGGAAGGTCGAAAGTTTATACCACACGAATTTTGGAAGAAAATTGAAGAAATTAAACTGTGACATGATATGAACTAAGTAGACGACATTGGTTTCGTGCGTAGCGCGCGAAGGACTGACTACGACCACGGTGAGTGAAGGCCCACCCCTCTTCACAAGGTGATGATTTCGTCGTATAATTTTTAACTTTCATTTAAAGGCCGCTGGTCATGGGTCATGATTTGTGCAGAGATCAGAAAAACTTTTGTGCTATGATGCCAGTCGAAGGCTCAAAACTGCAGCCGAATTTGAAAGTCGTTGAAGTGGAAATGTGAAGTAGGTACGCACATCTATGTAAAGCATTCATTTAAATTTCACCATTGTCGCTGTTTTTCGAATGATCTATTTTTGCAAGGTTTCGAAACACTAACTATTCATGGTATTTGTGAAAAAGTTCGGTTTCTTGTGTACATTGAAAACTGCATGCCGATTTTTTTAAACTCTGAGGGTCACATTTTGGTACAATAAATGGGATATTTTTCAAAGACTGCATTTCTTCAGATTAGAAATGGGTTGTTGCCAAGCTTAGTCGATCTAATTTCACCTCTTTTATCAATATCAACATATCTTTCTTTAACAATTAATGGTTAAATCTCTGAGGAAATAATGTGAATCCTATTAATATTCAGAAAATTACAGAGTAATTTTATTTTCTGTCGCTCCATCTGAGCTCTTCCGAAACTTGTTACATGCCCAGTTTTTGAATCTCGATGCCAATGAACACATTCCAACGTTACGCCGCTTCTTTTTCACAAAATTTAATTTCGTACATCTCTTCTACTTTTTTCAAAATCGGGGCATTGATTTCTAAGCAAAAATCTAAATCTCCTTTTCAATTCTGCTTCATTGCCTTGAACAGTAAATAAACTATGGAGTACCCGAGAAAGAGAAGGGTCCAAATCAAGACCACCGGAAAACTGGTTTTGGAACGGGAACACTGGCCAGTAGTCTCCAAGATGCGTTCGACCAGGAAGCGGCTCTTGAGGTCCTGAAATCATTAGCATGATGAAGAAGCAAATTATCCTCAAATGGCCATGCTTCTAAGCGGAATTTAAGAGAAATGCATGTTGTAATACTGAGATATTTGCAAAACTCCGGACCGCAGCTATCTGTTGTGGGAAACGAACGCGGGCAATGTCCTTTCCGGTGAGTAACGCGTCCACCTCCACACCATACTGGTCCTTCGTTTCGCCTGTCTCTCAGATAGTTCTATCGATCTTTTGCCATCACCAATCACCCGTCAACGGGATTGATCTTGGGAGCCCAAATCGGCATTGATCCCAGTTAAGCTGCGGCTATAGTTATAATCATGCATGTGTTTGCGTCTGTTCTAATTTGTGCTTAGATTTCCTTTAGTCAATGACAAAAACGCTTCTGCTCGTGTGGCCCCGGGTACCTTTTCATCCAGAAATTCGAAAGCACGCTGAAAATCTCTTACAACAAACTCGTCATCCAAGACATTTCATATCTGTAATCATCATTTAATCACTCGAAATATAGTCACAATGAATAAAGCTGGTTTTGAAGTTTGCAATAATATACTTTCTCATTTTTGCAGCCAGCATTAACGTTAGAACAAGCGTTTAACGCAGTAGTCGCACTGTAATACACATGAGATCGATCCTTACTTCGTCTCCGCACTTTCAGCAAACGAAGCTTCTTATCCCTACTGGGTGGCCACATGAGTATAGTACTGGACTGGAAGGATAGAAGAGGATAGGAAAACAAACTTCATATATCGTCATTGTATAAGCCAGATATGCATTCAGTCACCTCTACGATGCTTGATGTTTTCAAATGCATAGCGTATAACTCACCGATCGGTCAACGTAGAATACTCTATCTTTTATTTCTATATCGAGAGTTTAATCCGGTTAATTTCAGATACAAAGCGCTAAATTCTGCCCTCGTTTACATGACTTTTTGACGAGAGAATTGCCTTTTCTTCTGCTTCAATACAGAAACCACTTTCTGGTACCTCACAGGCCAATGGAAAAAATTCTATCGTCCTTCTGTAAGAAACGGGTAGCTCACTATAACGTTGCCGCTCCGTACGAACCAGGCGCTAGCTTGGTCCTTCACTGACCCCACCGACCTCGCATCCATTAAAGCTCGGAAGAGTCACCGTTTTAGGAGGTATGACTTTCCCTGTCGACGCGCGCTACCCATTAGAATTGGTTCCAAGTTCCTTACCCGTTCAACCAATTTCTAAACTTCTTTTCCTCTTCAGACAACAAGACCCCAACGAAATTGACATAAAATTTTGCATTCTTATATATATTATATACGTACTATATATATACTATATGTATTATATATGTTTTGCCACTCCAAGAACCCTCAATCATTACCTCGAAAGGTAGTTTAGTTCTGACGTCACAGCAGAAAGGTGGTAAAAGGCAAGTTCAGAAACTAGTAAAATCGGAAATTATTAAACTATCAGTTAGTTAAAAAGGTGGAGAGTTTGTAGCAATTATGTTGAGACAACGAGAAAGTACTCTAAATATGTTTTCTCTTATTGCCCATCGTCAGAAAAGAAATTCGAAAATCAACAACAAAAACTGAGCACGAAATGGGCCAATGGAGACAGAGCGGCATATTAAAACCACTAGTTGTTTCGCAACTTAAAATTCGACTACGAACATGTTCTTTTTGTAGTTGCTTATGCAAATCTATAAGACAGTAAAATAGAACAACAACTATGTTGAGATATTTGCAAGCAAAACTACGAACAACAAGTGTCTGCGGTGGGGAGGGAACGCGCTGTTACCTTTTCCGGTCGCTAGCGCGTTCACTACCGAACACTGCGGGTCTTTGGCTTCGACTGTGTCTCAGTTAGTTTCCAATCTGCCATATACCTATATAATTGCTCATCTATTCTATTTCGACATTGTAATCCCAACTACAGCCTTAGCTTAGCTAGGTTCAACGCTGATTTGTGTTCCTCATGTTAATCCCGCTGATGGTACTGGTAGATGGAAAAGTAGGTGAAAGACAGGCGAAATGAGGGATCTGCATGGTGTGGTAGTGAGCGCGTTACTCCCGGAAAGCGTAATAGCACACTCGTTCTCTAACACAAGCACCTGGGGTCCGGAGTTTTGCAGATATCTCAGCATCAATGTGGCTGTATTTCGCATGATATCCTGCTATGAAATTAATAGTAGGCAGCAAATAAAAAGTTAACATCGTGAGTTAGAATCTGTTAAAGGTGCGGCGTCTACAGATCCCTCAACGTCGGAGGATAGACCTATCATCAATGAAGGGCCCCTCAAATAGAAATGAATGGTTTATGAACCCAAACATCACAGCCGATCTCATAAACACCTGAATGTTCTTTGATCGCCTGTGTCACGCGTTAGCGCGTCCTAACAGTGCGTTCGTGAATAAATTCATGAAGGCGTTACAGTCTTTCATATTCGGCTGTTCAGAAATGAGTGAGTGCTTTAACCATATTATTTAAAATGCCGCAACTTGCTTCAAATGGAACTTTATTAACCGGAAAAAAAATTGTTTAAGTTTACAAATTTTTTTGAAGAAGAACATACGACAGTAGAGGAGTCGGTAACGTCGTCTTTCTCGTCAACACGAGGTTCTCCATGAACATCGATTCATTCGAACAACAACTCGAATCGGACGCCTACGATTAAAAAAATGTGGATCAATATCGCCTTTGATAATCCTCGTCGTCTACTCGCCGACATTAAACTATGACGAAGAAAAAGTCGAAGCGTGCTATATGGACTTGGAGAAGTTCTACAGAGAAGACCATACACACTTCAAGGTCATCCTTTCCGCGAAAAATGGAATCTTCCACGAAGAAGACGATGGTGTGATCTCCTGCAGAATTTTGCGACAACAGCGACACCAGTTAGGTAAAGCCTTTTATTTACTATGATGTAGTCTATTTCGTTATGGTACACTCCATTCAATAACTCCCATGTCCAGCGTTGAGGGCGGGGCTTCTGGAATCGCAAGTTACCATGAATTGTCTTGGTCGCCATGATAAACTCAGAGAGCCGCTCACCATGTTCGTTCCATTGTAATCCGTGGGTCCTAATGTGACATTCGTCTCGATATAATCTTGGCGTTAGAATCTCCAATGATTACCTTGAAGAATGAGTGGTCTTCTGTGTAGAACTTCTCCAAGTCCATATAGCACGCTTCGACTTCTTCTTCGTCATAGTTTAATGTGGGCGCGTAGACGACAAGGTTTGTCAAAGGCGATATTGATCCACATTTTTTTAATCGTAGGCGTCCGATTCGAGTTGTTGTTCGAATGAATCGATGTTCATGGAGAACCTCGTGTTGACGAGAAAGACGACGTTACCGACTCCTCTATTGTCGCCATGTTCTTCTTCTCCGGTGTCATAAACGGCGTTGAAAGGTTGGCATCTTCTCGTCTCGGCCAGGTCTATGACATCGTACCTTATCCTTCTTGCTTGCATGAGTAAGTCTTTCATCGAGGGCTTCGATGCAAGTGTACGTGCAATGTAGGTACAGATCGTCACCATAGTTTTTTGAAAACCAGACAGCTTCCATTAGCCCCGAGATTTTAGCAGCCTCTCCGTACTCGCCCTACCCAACGCGGCGAAAATGGAGGCTCTTTCGCAGTCAAGGAAATGAAGCCCGTTTTTTTTTACTGTGTTTAGCATTTTTGATACCCACGTATAGCTTGCGGGACTCTGAACGTGGAGGCCGAGTATACTCACGGCTTGCTTGCCAGGCTCTACCATAGTGGACATGGAGCTTATTTGTTGGAGGCGACTCCTAACCGCCTCCCATATACTTCCCTGTCACATGATTGCGGGCGTTCCGATTTGACTCGTAGAATGCAATCCGCATAAACTAGATCGCACCCACACACGCATGCATGAATACTTCTCGTAAATACAAAATATATGTGCCAAATCAGCGCAGCAGAAACAGAGAGTTCATCCTTTGGATCCACCTGCGTCTTCTCAGAGAAGCAAGGGCCGCTTTTTGGTCCACGATTAGCCCTCCATCCGCCACCTGAGGAGGCGCTACGTAGCCTCGCGATTAGCCGGTTCGAGATCCCTCATATGAGGGAGATCCGTGGGCTAAACAAGCAGAGTAGATAAATTTCACCTGAGAGGAACCGAAGAAAGACTGATTACCATTTTTGAACGTTCAAAGCAACCTTTCTGAAAACAGATACACCACCAAATACTACCGAAATCCATGTAACAAAAACACTTTTAATGATGCTGAGATATTTCCAAAGGACCTGACCACAGATGTATGCGGTGGGGAACGAACACGCGCTGTTGTCCTTACCGGGGAGCAGCGCACTTTGCCACCACACCATCCGGATCCTTCGTTTTGCCTGTCTCTCAGCTAGTTCTTTCGATCTATTGCCAAAAACACTTTTATTTGTCGTCTCTCCTCTCACTCTTCACATACTAAAAAGGTACTTGTAAAAAACGTGTTTCCTGCAGCCACCAGTTTCTATACAGAAATGGAGGAGAGGAAAGAATCTCTGGACTTGGAGCGGAAATTAGCCACTTCCAATGCCTACGAAGCGATAGCTACTCTGAGAAGGCTTAGAGGAACTCGCCGCAAAATAGGTCCAGTGAGAATTTGGTTACGTTTATCCTGCTCTTTATTTCAAACAAAATAAGCACACACAAAAACTTTGCTTGAAAGAGGCAACTATAAGTAAGTCGGTAGCGGTGATTAAAATAATACCGAACAATCTAAGACGTCAGCTAGTTCGTAACCATCTCTATGACCATCTATACGGAAGGCGCAATTGTATAATTTACCCTAACGGCAGAGGTGGTGATTGCATGAGTTCGGGTGCTATGTACCTCGCATCTTGTAATGTGCGTGGGACGAATACTTTGACGAGACAGGTTGAACACTCTGCGTCCGTATGAAAAAATGCTTAGTTGCTAAATCTAAAGTGAAAGCAAGTAGTCGACCATGTGAGTATTGTACATAGAGACATAACGGACAGAATCCAAAGCACTGGAGCCTA